GTTAAGAGCATTGATCATTGATGCTTTCCCTATTACCCATTTTTAAGATGGTGTATAAATATACTTGTGTTCGTGGCACGTATCCATTCTGTCTACTACTTATTGGTTCGAATCTTTCGTGTCACTTCGTTCGCTGGGGTGGTGTTGCATGCACGCGTCATTAGTGCGTCTGCCTGTGTAGTTCCGATATCCGTGGTGTAGCGTTCTACAAGTATAAGGTCAGATTGAATGCTCACCACACCTTGATACCTACATCTACCAGGGGTTACAAAAAGATCTCGGCTCTGCAGGACCACAGCGGTGAACAGCCCTGGAGCTCAAAGGGGTCCGGGCGGGCCCTAGACTTCTCTTCACGGGACAAATACAACGCACTAATGGAGAAAGAAGGCGACACCATCTCAGACAAGAAGAAGGAGATAGCCCTGAAGATCCGAGGCACTGAGGCGGTCAAGCGCTACTTCGGTGTGCAGAACGAGCGCAAGGACTTTGCCAAGATTGAGCACCTGCTGTCACCCGTGGTGCGTGAGAAGGAGGAGGCGATGTTTAAAGAGGTTGACGAAGAGATGGAGGCCATTCAGCTGATTGCAGGCGAGATGAAGCCCGGGTGGAACAAGACCTTCCTGCAAGAGTGTGCCGATGCGCTGGGGCAGCAACGGCGTACGGAGAGCAAAGGTGGACACTCGCACGACGGTAAACCGTGCCACGGCCACGGGCCACCTACAGAGGAAGACCATGGACACTCGCACGGGAACGGCGCACCCGAGCATGGGCACTCCCACGACGGGAAGCCCTGTCATGGGCATGGCCCCCCTAAACCCCCCCAGGGGGTGCAAGGAGGCCCCCCCCAGAACCCTGGCGAGGTGGGGCAGATCTCTCTGGCCATTTCGGTACCGCAGGCGACACACACGGCGGGGCAGAACCCATTGGATGGAGATCCCAATGAGGTGCTAACCGTGCAACGGATGATCACCACGCCCGACGGCAAGAAGCCCCTGGGCAGTCCTAAGGCCATTCCACGCAAGAACCTCAGAGAGCTGTTGCAGAACATGAAGGCCACCATGAAGAAGTAGGCGGAAGTGTGTGGGGGGGGGGTAAGTGCGTTGTAAAGATGTTCTCGATTAAGCAAACTGTTTGAGGCTGCAGAAACCTATCTGAATATATATACATATATAAAGTATATATATATATATATATATATATATATATATATATAATGTATGTATGTATATTAATATGCATTTGCATATATATAAATATATATATAATGTATGTATGTATATGTATATGCATTTGCATGTATATATATATATATATATACATTTATATATATATATATAGTATATAGTATATATATGGAGGCTGACAGGAAAGGATAACTCGAGGTGCAGCTAGAAGGGCAGAGGTGGTGGTGACAATTTTTAATGGCCGGCTAAGTTGAATAAAAATGGGGTTTCCGAACGAGACGGGGTATGGCACTTGCTACCTGTTGTATGGCGTTGTTTGTGATTCTTCTTTCAGAATCGATGATCACGTTGGTGGAGCTAGACTGTACTTAAACACACGTGACTGACGATGCGCGTACTAAATGCAGCCTCTGTCTTGATATGGGTACAAAGGAGAATGTTATTGTCGAGATATACATACATACATACATGTACACACACACATACATATATATATATATGTATATATATAAATAATACATACTTACATACATACATACATACATATATATATATATATATATATATATATATACTATTATATATATTATATTATATATATGTATATATATATATATAGATATATATATATACAGATAAGAATATATATATATATATATATATATGTATATATGTGTGTATGTATGTATATATGTATTTACGTATGTTGGTATGTATGTATGTATGTTTGTATATAATCAAGTGTGTATGTATGTCTGTATATATATATATATATATATATATATGAATATACATAT